ATCGACCCAGCAATCCAGTTGGTCCAGGCCAGTCCTCAAATCAGCACAACTAAAGGCCCAACAACAAACACAACAAACACACCCGCCCGCACAACTCGACAACGCGATTAAAAACCACAACTCGTTCAGAAACGCAAACTAACTTTGCTCCGAGCCGAAAGCGAACAACAAGGCAACTGCGCAACAGCCAAACAAATCAACAACAAATAGCCGAACAAAAGGTGTAACCTTAAAAGATGGCTGCAGAGACAGTTGTTGGGCTGCGTCTCACAAACTGGCGGTCGACCGAAATGTCTCGTTCGAGCTGACTTGCAAACCGGTTCGGCCGGAGCACAATCTCTCAACCCAAATGTTACATTCGACAACGTGTCAGTTGTCGCGCCAGCCATTCTTTGCATGCAGAATAATGTGTGTGTGTGTGTGTATGTGTGTGTGTGGTGTGAGTGTGTGCAACATGATTGGGGTGATGGGGATGAGACGGTGGAGCTTACATGCGCGGCTGAATGTCAGTGAAATGGTCCGCCTTGTCGGTTGTCATGTTACAATTACACATCGCCTCTTCGAAATGATTGGTACTGTGGCAGGCTGATCACGAGATCCGTCTCTCTCTCTCTCTCTCTCTCTCTCTCGAAGACCCGCTTTGCCAGACTGTGTCAATCAATGGACGGGTTGATTAATCCAATCATTTGGCTCAGTTTACAGCCGCAACCGACACTGCTCGGGGCCGCCGTCCTCGGAGCTACCCCCCTCCTTACCGCCCACAGACGTACACAGAATAGCGACAGAATGGTGGGGACAACGTTGTCGGTGTGTATTGGTGCTGGTTTAGCAGATGGCTCTGGTCACGTCAGGCTTGGGAAAGCGAAATCGAATCCAACAGACACACCACAGTGACCCAGTCCCAGGCTCAATCACACACACATACTTCACACACACACACAAATGCGCATACGCATACGTATACAAACAACGGGGTACTGGAAATAATGCAGAGAGAATGGGGCAATCAGAGACGTCGTAAATGACGCCCAACGTGGCGAGGCCAAGGTCGGGTGGAGTGGAGACGAGTTGATGGCAGCCTGACGACACGGCCGGTCTGTCTATCACTATCTTCATGAACGTGTGTGTATGCAAATGTAGGCTCAAATGG